ATCTATGAAGAGTATTTGATTCTACCATATCTGGGTCTTGAGAAGAAGATTTTTGAAATTTCAGTCAATTCAACCCTTTTTGGCCCCACCCATCAGCCCCGGGGGGGGTCAGTAAGGGCTCATATGTGCATACCATCAAGCTGCTATCCAATACTGATAATACTAACCCCAATTGAATTACTTCCAATGGCAATTAAACAAATGTTAGTCCAAAATGTGATTTCCCTATATAAACTATAGTAAAGTTTACCCCCTCCCCAGGGGGANATTTTCATTCTCAAACTTTGTTGGGCTCTATCCCAGGAAGCCATCAGCCAAATATGAAGATTCTATACCTTTTAGTTCTTTAGAAGAAGTCGTTTGAAGTTTTTGACATATTTGACCCCTGTGACCTTGAAAACAGGTCAAGGTCATTTTCGTTCTCAAACTTTGTAGGGCTCCTACCAACGAAGCTTTCAGCCAAATATCATGACTCTAGGCCTGTCCGTTCTTCAGAAGAAGTTGTTTAAAGGAAAAGTTGACGGACGAGGACGGACGGACGGACGGTGGACGGACGNTGGAGAAGAAGTCGAAAATGTAAATTGTTTACGGACGCATGACGGATGACGGACGACGCCAGACAAAAGGCGATCGCAATTGGTCACTTGAGACTTTGTCTCAGGTGACCTAAAAAAACAATGACAATGGTATGTCAATATTTAAGAGGAATTGTACCTGAATATCAAATGTAAATATATTTCAAGAAACTATCTATAATCAATCTTTGGTTTTAATTAAGACATGTTGTCAAATACAAAACTTCTTTCACCCAGTAAGACATCAAAAATTGAATTCGCTGAAGAATAAATAATAAACATCAAAGATATGACATTATGGTTTCCTGTAAGAGAACCTAGGCATGATAGGAACTGTAAAGGAAGACTTACTAGAAGCGTGTAAAGCTGGAGATGCCATCCATCTTTTGAATGAACCTGATATTCTTGACCAAATATATTGGATTACAAATGTCACCATTCCTAAACCAATGAGTATTTTTATCCCTGTCTTAAGAAACGCTGCAGGATCTGAAACAAGAAATACAGATTATATACAGGGGTGTATATTACCACTTACCTGACACCCAAGGCTAGTTAATTTAACGCTGGATTGGTGAAATATAGGTAGGGCTAGTAGTTAAAAATCCACTTACAAGCTTGTACTCTTAATATGAAATTGCACACCCATGCTTTGAGTATAATAAAAAAGAATAGAAAAAGATATTCATAAGTAAAAATCAATAGAACAAATGAATGAATGATAAATGATAGTAAATTTTCTGGTACTGCACTTCTATAGCCAGTCAACATTGACAAGCAACTTATGGGTAAAGTACCAGAAAGGGACTCAAGCTTTTTGCTAAATGATTTCGACTCTGATTTAAAAGAACTTAACTATTAAATTGAATACATGTACTTCCTTCCTGAATGTACATCAATGAAATCTTCAATAAGATTCATCAGTTTACGAAAAAAAGTAATATCAACGATTTAAGACAGACTCGTTCCTTTGTCAAGCTATGACTGAGTGAGCGATTTGCATTGTTTATCTGTACAACAATGTGATGAAATTGTATATTGCATATACATGTATGTCACTTGACCCTGGAGGTTTCACCTATCGATAGAGAGGGTATTCACAAAGTATTGCATAGGTTTCTATTGACAATGAAAATAATGTTGAAAGGGAACATACAAAAAAACAAGCCAATCAAAGAAGCAATCAAAATCAAGAAAACTCATAACATGAACAGAGATGAGGGGGGACACCAGCTGAGTCATCTGTATGACCTCATACTGATATAACTGAGAGGGCTTTATCTACACTCTACAAGTAACCTATTCTTGAGACGTTGTGACACGTTTTATAGTTGACGTCACATGAAGTTTTTATTTTTCTTGACAACATTTTTTCCTGATTACTATATATATGTAGCCCTGCAAAGAAACAAGATTTATTGTATTCTTTACTTAAAAAAAAACAAAAAACATCTGAACATCACCAAATATATAATGTAACCACAGGTCCTTCAGGTATGAGGTGTCCCACATATGGCACTGCCTGCCAATGACCTGAATTTCACAAGTGGCTCCATGTATAGGATGACCATACCTATTTACAAACACTCTATTCTTTTAACTCACACTATATTAGCACAATCGTACTAGTATGTAGGATTATAGGTTTTGCTGTACATTACCATATACATACTCAGTAAAAAGACAAAAAGAAAACTAATTTTACAGAAGTTCATCATTTTTGTAATTACAATTGTGTTCCAACTTGTTCTCTATTTATTCATTGGAGACTTGTTCATTCATTTGTCAAAATTTATGAAAAACAACAACTTTAGCAGTGAAATTTAAGGTAGCACAGCAAGTTTCATTTCGTAAATCACATATTTTGTTTGGTGTACGACCACCATTTGTGCAGATAACAGTGTTGCAGCATCAATCGCAAATGACCAATAATAGGAGTGGGATTATTGTGAATTGTCTTAGTTAATTCCTTAATTGGGCAAGTTAAATGGCTGGTTTTAATGGGCAACCTGTCAGGTGATTTAGATGGCTAGTCCAATACTTGATCATTGTAAATCTGCTGAGATGACTGTTATGCACAGGCACATTGTCTTGTTGACAAGTAACAGCACAATGGCACTGTAAACAAGAGGCCCAAGGGCCTTAGCGGTCACCTGAGTTATATCATATAGGTACTGGTAGCTTTATTTTATTGTTTAGATGTGGAAATCAGCATGTTAACTAAGTGAAATACAATACTTGTCATGTCATCAAAGGATAAGAATTTTAGAATATTGGTAAACGTTCCCTTTGGGGCCCCGCCCTAACCCCTAGGGATGGGGCAGAAATTCCAATTTTACAATGTAATACCCTCATCCACCAAAGATGATTCTGACCAAGTTTGAATAATTTTCTGCTGAAAATGGATAAAATATACCCAAAAGTGTTATTTCCATATATATAAACTATAGTAAACTTTACCCCCTCCCACAGGGAGAAGGGATGGCCTAGGGGTCCTGAAATTTACAATTTAAATAAAGCCCCTGATGATCTTTCCATTCATCAAAGGATGATTCTGACCAAGTTTGAAAAAATTCCATCCACTGGCACTGGTTCTTGAGAAGAATTTGAAAATGTAAAAAAGTTTCCACACTACGGACGACGATGGACGGAAAGTGATCGGAATAGGTCACTTGAGCAAAGCTCAACTGTGGTCCAACCGGTTTGACAGTTTAAATGAAAATGGCCCAAGTCATGAAGCATCCCCAGTCTCAAGAAAGACAACCCAATGTAAAGACTCCACAATCACCGACACTTGACAATAGGTGGCAGAATGATATGGCTTGTGTTTGACAGACAAGACTTGCTCGACCGTGCAGTCCTGATACATCATGTAGAAAATGTTTTGTTTTGGTAATCTCTTATTTTTAACAATTTCAAAAATGATTGTTAGTAATGATAAACAAATCTAGGCAGTTTCAAGAAAGACAACCCCGAGTCCCACAGTCACTCTCACATACAACTGTACTGTACGGTAACTTGAACGATGAAAACCCCATAAGTTCACCTCCGTTTTTCTTACCTGTTCGGAAATATATAAAACATCCAATTATCGACATACCAATGAGCAGTTTCCCATAAGCCATAACTAAGATTAAGTAGAAGTAATGAATGACGTGTCTATCGACTTCTGTCAAAGCCCCCAAAATCGTCTGCTAACTTACTACTTAGTTACTGAAGACTGATGCACTGGTTGTGCTGTTTTAGGACCAATTCATTTTGTGTCATTTCAAATAAAATAAATATGTTCACCTATACCTATAACACTAGTACAGTAAATTATATGATATACCCAAACTTCAAGATGTTCAAAATTTCTATCAAAAATGTTTTTGGGTCTGTGGTTTTTCTCTTCCGGAAGTCGGGGATTATATGTATATGGAACTCTCCAGAAGAGAAGGTGCAGAATATTGTATCCAATGAAAATCCGAGCTCGATGTCATGTGCCCTGAAAAAGTATATATAAGCAGATGGCTCTATGAAAACTGCCTCTTTTCCACAAGGTAGTAAGCAGAGTAGGGGACCAGCCATGTCAACTACAACAACGAACGGCCTCAACGGCAGCCATTACAAAGAGTATAACCATCATTATGCCGAAGAATGCAGTCAAGATGACATTGGCACCTTCCTTTTTACATCAGAATCTGTGGGAGAGGGACATCCAGGTACTGCACTATTTATTTTCCGTTATTCTTGCTGTAGTATCGATACTGCAATACTTCCAAAGCTCCGCACCAGCAGCACGTGTTTTGATATGTTTACATGTTTTTATAGAGTGGTTGCGTCACATGATCGCTTACAAAATATTACAGTTCATCATGCATGGTTAGGATTCAACTATTTCACTGATCGTGAAATGGAGCATAATTCAGTAAACATTGGTTTCGTGTTATTTTACGAGTGATCCAGCAAAAGAATTATTTTACTTTTGTTTACATCCGCCCTTTTCGTCTCCAAAATCTCATTGATAGCTATGTCAGGAACAGACATGATTTCTGTTAAAATGTGTGCAATCTATATTAATAAGTGACCAGTCTGGATCTACGTAAAAACCTAAATCTATTAAATTCATTCTTTAATGCAAAGTTATTTTCATTAAACAGGTTGGGTGACAGTTAATGTTGACAGAAAGAGTTTTATTACTGATATTGAAAATAAAGTGAAATAAAAATAAGTTCTTCTATATAAGAAGCTAAAGCAAGAAAAATTATCATTCTTTCAAAATTGTTCAATAAATAATCAAATTATGGGTAATATTGTGCATGAAAAGGAATGAGCAAAATTTGAAGGTAATAATAAACAAATAACGGTCAAGGGACATAAGTATTCATCATTTTGAAAATGCCTGCGTTTTGTTTACATTGACAACCATAATTTCAAAACTCATTTTAGAGGCGGTATAACAATTAACTTACCTCAGTATTTGGTCAAATTGCCTTTCATACATTTTACTTCCTTCAGTCGTCCTGGAATTGATTTGTACAGTCATCTTGCATATTCTAACGATATTTTGCCATGGTCGATGAATTTCGGCAAACGGCTAATCACTTGTTTGGATGTTTCTTGACACGTTTTTTAAGTCGCGCTTTAGTTTGAGCCACATGTTTTCTATTACATTCATGTCGGGGGATCGAGCTGGCCATTCAGTCGTGTTTATGTGATTTTGTTCCATATATTTGCTTACCACGCAGGCTCTATGTACTAGCGCATTGTCATCCATGAATGTGTAACTTATCGGGGAAATGGCGAGCAATTACCGGCCACAGATAATTGTCCAATATATGAATATATCTTTGAGCATTGATGTTTCCATCTACAGCAACCAAAGTGCCCACACCATTAAAACACTAACAACCCCACGGCATCCTTTCCATATAGCAGGTAAAGGGTTATATGCAATCTATTAATAGCGCGAGTTCAAAATGTACATGGAAGAGAAATAGGATTTACACATTGTTACCAAAATGACGAATGTCCCTTAACTGTAGAACTGTGGATTGCAGTCCGTTAATAAATAGGAAAAGGAAACTTATTTAGACTTTTGTGTCAAATAAACTCATCAAAATCTTGGGCTTCTAGGACCAAGATATATTAGGTAAGTAAGGTTTAATACTGAGACATAATAAGATAATCTTATTAAAATAAATGTTTTAATCGAACAAAGTAGATATGAAACTATTTATTTTGACAAGCCCATGTGTGATTACAAGAATAATCAGTTGTATATGGTTTACCTAGAGTGGTTACTGATGGTGTGGTGTTTCTATTGTCATTCAGTTGACACAAATCCTTGCATGGCCATTTAGGGTTTCATGATAAGTTCGTAACTATGGGAAATTAAGCAAAATCTGATGTAGAAATGCTCAAAGTAGTCATAGAACTTGCTGTTTATTTAATACAAAGGTGACAAACATTGCAATATGGTGGGGGGGGGGGGGCATACTTTACACCCTGGGTGTGCTGCCATCTATAGGACACTTTCTGTCTTTATGCTGTGCATCCCCCGAACACGTCCCAGTAGTAGTTAGTACATTTTAGGTCACATAAGCACACAGGCAAGCTAGACGTTATTAACATGACAGAAAGTGTGCATGTGATCCAAGGTCCACAGGTAAACAAAAAATAAGAGGTCAAACATTACAGTTAGATTAAAGTTGACTGTCCCTAATTGATGAACAACTCGGGGAGAAAGACACCATGCAGGACAATCAACTAGAGGCTCATGGCAGGTTTTAATGGTTGACTGTCCCTAATTGATGAACAACCTGGGGAGATAGACAACATACAGGTCAATTATCATGTCATATTTTGTTCAAGCTGTTGAAGTTGTTTAATTATGTCTTTATTTCACAAGATACAAATATTGTAGGTAATTTTGTGATACCGTTAAAACCCATGTAATTTGTGCACCTGTGTAATTTGCGCAGGTACTTTTTGAGGCTGAAAATCGGGGAAAAAAGCTTCTACTCGAATATTTTGCGCACCCATACAAATCTGGGGGGAAAAACGATGTTCATGCTGCGAAAATCGATCTCTGATGAACGTTTTTTTTAAATATATTTCTTATGATGTTTTTTTATTGATGTAAAGATATTAAAAACCAAGAAGAAACTACGTAAAATGTGTATTTTGTTGTTCGTTTTCTTAGAATTATCTGATCACACACGTGTGCGCATATCGGCATACATCAATTCATTTTAGCAATATTTTACATAAAACATTTACTTGCTTACAAAAACATATCAATTATTAAGTACTTTGATGTTTAGTAACCGCTGGTGCATATCTCCTGGTGAAAGACATAATTAGATACCTTTTATTGATCATAATTACCATCAGTGAGAAGGGCTCATCATGGCGGCTTGGGTATCGTCACTTCAAACCAGGTCATGTCGCAGTTCAGTTTAGCCACGGAATTAGATTACCTAAGTCCGTGGTTTGGTGATATTTTTTTTGGCCACACAATTTTTAACCTACTGTAAAATTATTAAAATCGGTCATCTGTGGTCAAGACTGCTGGTTTTGCGACATTTTCAGGTAAGTTAACCCGGAGGGCATGATTTCACCGATATCATCTGGTCCCAGACAATAGGCCAGGTAGGATCGCATGCTTCAGGGTAAATTATTGACACTTCTCAACACTACAGTCAATAAAAATTACAATGCAGTAATTAGCTAACACTATATCTGTGATTACCCGTCAACAATAGCTCTACTAATTGAAATGATTTGCAGTCGCGAACGACGGACCGTGTTGTTGTTTTTTTCACTCACCAACACGTGGCGTGAATTACGAAGCCCTACTGCATTGTCAAAACTACAGACTGATTTGACTGATAAGGGATTATAAAAAAAAAAGGTTTATACTAGAAGCGTGGACAATCAATACATCCTCTTCAAATCTACTCCAAGGAAAAAAATAGTTAAAGCAGACTATTTTTATGATGCTTCATTTAATAAATATTGAAATAATTCACGAGGTTATTATCAACCACGTTAACGTAATGTTAGACGCAAGATCAACATGAAAGTGAGGCGGGGAAAAAACATGCAAGACGCATATGCGATTTGAAAAAAAACTAACAGAACTTACATGGAACGGAGCTTAAATTGAACTACATTTTCGTAATAGTATGGGAAAACGTACCGAGATGTCGAAACGTAACGTCGTAAGTTGATCGGCGTTTCTCTGGCATAGGAATTTGGCTAAACTTTCTTTGTTAACGGTTACCTATTTAATAATACTTTTCACATAAACAACACATTATGTATCAACTGTATTTTTAGCTCACCTGGCACAAAGTGCCAAGTGAGCTTATGCCCCGGCGTCCGTCCGGCGTCAATATTTTAATTTAAACGACTTCTTCTTAACAACCAAAAGGCCTAGGGTGTGGATATTTGGGCAGAAGCAAACTGGGATGAAGGGCTACGAAGTTTGTTAAAAGTAATGACCTTCACCCATGTTCAAGGTCACAGGGGTCAAATATGTTAAAAACATTAAACAACTTCTTCTCGATAACCAAACTGCCCAGGGTGATGATATTTGGCCAGTAGCATGCTGGGATGAAGGGCTACCAAGTTTGTTCAAATGAATGACCTTCACCCATATTCAAGGTCACAGGGGTCAAATATGTTAAAAACTTTAAACAACTTCTTCTGAATAACCAAAATGCCTAGGGTTATGATATTGGGCCTGTAGCATGCTGGGATGAAGAGTTAATAAGTTTGTTAAAATGTATTACCTTGACCAACTTTCAAGGTCAAAGGGGTCAAATGTCTTAAAATCTTTAAACAACTTCTTCTCAATAACCAAAAGGCCCAGGGTACTGATATTGGACCTGTACCATGCTGGGATGAAGGACTACCAAGTTTGTACAAATGAATGACCTTGACCAACTTTCAAGGTCAAAGGGGTCAAATGTCGTAAAATCTTTAAACAACTTCTTCTCAATAACCAAAAGGCCCAGGGTACTGATATTGGGCCTGTAGCATGCTGGGATGAAGGGCTACCAAGTTTGTTAAAATGAATGACCTTGATCCACTCTCAACCTGATGTCCTTGTACGACATTCAAGGTCAAAGGCGTCATATGTTTAAATCTTTTTCTTATGAATCAAACACTGATATTCTGCCTGTAGCTGTATTTTAGTCCACTTTTAAGATTACAAGTGTGAGATTAATACCAGGTGAGCGATGCAGGCCCATTGGGCCTCTTGTTTATTAATGTTTGACATAAATAAATTTGTTGACCGTCATTTGTCTTAGAGTTCCGTGTACCAAGGGAGATAATCCAAGATGGTGATCTCCCAGAATCATCGATCTTTTCCTGAAAAAAAACTGAAATTTTCTATACCTGTGTATTTTACGTGAACTTTGCCCTCACATAAAGCTGCTGTGCATACAACTCTCCCTATTTCCTTACCTCTGGAGTTAAGACCTGACCTATAGTGAAATATTGCAGCGCAGTAATTTCATGACCATGAGAGAACTTTAACAGTCCCATTTTGATGTAAAAATGGAGTGGACAAAAAAGCTATTACAAGAAGCAAATTTCAGTTTCCTCTTTCTTTTCAGACAAGATCTGTGACCAAGTAAGTGATGCTGTGTTGGACGCTCACCTTAAACAGGATCCAAACGCCAAGGTAGCTTGTGAGTCAGTGGCCAAGACAGGCATGATCCTGTTGGCCGGAGAAATCACCTCCACTGCCAACGTTGACTATCAGAAGGTGGTCCGCAACACAATCAAACAAATAGGATATGACGATTCATCAAAAGGTACTTCTATTTTCTGCAGACATTGTATCACAAAGAACATGTAAAGTAAAACTATTTTAATATTTGAAACAGACTAAAAGAATTTTTAACAAAATTGAATTATCATACTTATAAATTCAGAAATGCACATTGAAGAACTTCTATGATTGTGATTCATACTTGCTATCAATTTGATGGACTTGTAGGTTTTGACTATAAGACCTGTAATGTCCTGGTGGCCTTGGAGCAACAGAGCCCAGATATCGCACAGGGTGTTCATGAAAACAGAGACGAAGACGACATTGGTGCTGGTGACCAGGTAAACGCTGATACACGAATCTTGATATAGTCAGTTTTGTTGCGTCTAAATAATATCCCCATAATATATACCAATTTCCAGCTTCATCATTTAGAAATGAAATGAATTTAAATAATTGGTTCAAAAGTTTCATATACTGTTTTAAACATAAAAAAGATGGGTATTAAAATGTTTTAATTTTGAAAATGTTTTCTGTTCTTTAGGGTCTAATGTTTGGGTATGCCACAGATGAAACTGACGAATGTATGCCACTTACGGTAGTATTGTCACATCAGCTAAATGCTAAAATTGCCCAACTGAGAAGGGACGGAACACTTGCATGGGCAAGACCTGACTCAAAAACACAGGTATGTGGAAACTTTTTATAATATAAGTGAAAAAATGAAAGGTCTATACTAATCACCAATGGACTACTATGAAGTGAAAATATTAATTTGAAGTATTGTGACATTCCTGAAGAAATTTGTTTTTCATTAAAGTTGAAAGATGATTAATAAATTCCATCATTTTAGTTCATTTTGATCCCCAAGTTGACAATTTAACTGATTGATCAGTTGCACTTTTCAACTGGTTACATCTCAATATTGCATTTGTTCCTATAGGTGACAGTGGAATACAAGTATGTCAAGGGTGCCTGTGTTCCCATACGAGTGCATACAGTGGTTGTCTCCCTTCAACATGACGAGTTCGTCACAATTGAAGAACTGAGAAAGCAGCTGATGGACAAAGTTGTTAACGAAGTAATTCCTGAAAAATACAGAGACAGCAAAACTGTGTTTCACATTCAGCCTTCCGGAAAGTTTATCATTGGAGGACCACAGGTAATTAGCTTTGCCAATAACTTCTAAAAGTTAAGAAATATTTTTTGTTTCAGGTCACATCAATGTATTAATTTGAATCAAAGTGCTCAATGTTTTTCTTATATTTATATTATGATGGGGAAAAAACTTGTATAAGTTTTACATGAAATAAACATTTTAATATCACACACTTTTCTGTTGATTATTGAATTATTTTGATTAAAAAGTTACTATTCTAAGGGGTTTAACAACACTTGTAGGGTGATGCTGGACTGACAGGAAGAAAGATTATAGTGGACACGTATGGTGGCTGGGGAGCCCACGGAGGTGGTGCCTTCTCTGGGAAAGACTTCTCCAAGGTAGACAGGTCAGCAGCCTATGCCAGCCGTTGGGTTGCCAAGTCTCTGGTCAAGGCAGGTCTCTGTAAGAGAGTTTTAGTTCAGGTAAGTTGTAAGGAAAAGGTGACTATAAACAACACTATATAACACTTAGTTGTTTTCACAAATTTATTTTATGCCTTTTAAGCAACTGTTAAATTTGAAAGATTGATATCTTTGAATGCTAACTAATGAATTGACAAATAACTTAACCAGTCTGCAGGAAAACTGACAATTTATAACATGTTTATAACAGCTTGGATGAACAAACATTATTGTTGAAAGTTAATCAGTTTTATGGTATCAAAGAAGCCTTGCTGGAGAATTTCATGTCGTGGAAAACGACAAAGAGTCTTGTTAGGACTGAGATAAAACGATACAAAATAATATGTACATACATTTATAAAAAGTATCATTTAAATATCCAGGTGTCGTACGCCATTGGAATTGCAAAGCCATTATCCATCACTGTGTTCAGTTACGGCACATCCAAGCTATCTGAAGCGCAGCTACTTCAAGTGGTGCATGACAATTTTGACCTTCGACCAGGACACATTGTAAAGGAACTGAATCTACGGGCGCCTATCTATCAGAAAACTGCATGCTATGGACATTTTGGTCGTCCAGAATTTAGCTGGGAAGTGCCGAAAAAGCTGATATTAAAAAACTGAAAGTCTGCTGAAATCTAATGTTACAAAATGTATGAGAGAGTAAAAAAAGTAAAATTTATTCAGAGAATATACAGAAAGCAACTGCCAGTAAAACTGGAAAGTATATAAACAGCTGCTCAAATCCACATTATGTTTGTTTGTGTGTGCGTTCGCGTGTGTGCGCTGAAAGAGCTAAATGTTAAATACACCATTTTATGATGAGAACAAGCCAAGGGGAGGCCACAGTAGTTAAAAGGCTAGTCTGACCCAGTTTGACTCCGGAGTTTATGTCTATTTATGGAATAAGTTTGACCCTCTTGACTCAAAACTAGCATTATCTTAAAATTCCTAATTTTGATTGCAGTTTTGTAGTCGATTGCAGAGGTTAATGCAACCTGAAATCTTTCATTCTTCTGAAGAATGAAGTTTTTGTAAATGTTAGCTCATTTGCGTCAAACTCGGCTTAGATTTCGCCCTTTAATTATTGCAAATGTGTTTTTTCTTCTCGATTTTTATATACACATTTGTCTCGTGTTTATGAAAATTTTAACGGAAAAGAGCACTATTTATAAACACTCGGGCAAAAGTCCCCAAATAGATAATGGTGAAGCCATTATATTGATACTTATTTATATATTTGAATACGTCCTTGCTATATATGTTGAAAATAGATTATTAATGAATGAGATCCCTTTTTATCTTTGATTAAAAGAAGTGTGATTGTAATTTCTTTTTAATGTAATTTTTATTGTTGTTATTCCTTTTGATTTCATTTTTATCATTGTCCATGACTTCAAAGATATTTAAATGGATTTCTGCCATATCTCTCCCAAGTAAAAAATATTTGGTCCATGTAATGTTGATCATGCACGTGTTGTATGATATCGTAGAATCATTCCCTGTATTCTACAGAATAGTGAGTGCAATTTAAGGAATATTTTGTTTGCTATACTGACATTTATCTCACCAGATAGAAATAGTCTTAACGAAAGCTGTAATTGGAGATCAGTCCATCTGTAGTCATTACATGTCCGTTTTCACATCTTGTCCACAGAATGTTAAACCATTATAAAGACATTCTTTTAAGATTTGTTATGTAACTCTATATTGAAGTTAAAATTAGAACACCAATTTACACTGTAGATGTCAGGTTTATATGAGGGAACAACTAAATAAATTGTTGAAATTTACCTACAGAAATTGTTTTTACTTCAGTTGAAAAACTGATGAATAGGAACATTGCAACTAAGAGGAAGTTATCCCATACAAGTTAACATTTATACATGTTAATTGAAGATTAGAAAAGTTAAGCCTCAAGGTAATGAATTATGACTTGATGCCGTCTCAATGAAAAGTTGCAATTTGTATAAATCAGGATATTTCACCTCAAGGTAAGGAATTATGACTTGATGCTGCCTAAATATGTAAGTTACAACCTGGATATGGTAGCATGACACTCTACTCGGTCAAAGTATTGTTACAACAGGTAGACTAGAGTTGGCCGGGTAGATAACAAACTCCACTTGGTCAAAGTATTGTTACAACAGGTAGACTAGAGTTGGCCAGGTAGATAACAAACTCCACTTGCACAAAGTGCCAAGTGAGCTTATGCCGTGGCGCAGCGTCAATATTTTACTTTAAACCACTTCTTCTTAATAACCAAAAGGCCTAGGGTGATGATATATGGCCAGAAGCAAACTGTGATGAAGGGCTACAAAGTTTGTTAAAATTAATGACCTTCACCCATTTTCAAGGTCACAGGGGTCAAATATGTTAAAAACTTGAAACATCTTCCTCGATAACCAAACTGCCCAGGGAGATGATATTTGGCCAGTAGCATGCTTGGGTGAAGGGCTACCAAATTTGTTCAAATGAATGACCTTCAATTATATTCAAGGTCACACGGGTCAATTGTCTTAAAAAACCTTTAAACGACTTCTGAATAACCAAAATGCCCAGGGTGATGATATTTGGCCAGAAGCATGCTGAGATGAAGGGGCTACAAAGTTTGTTCAAATGAATGACCTTCACCCATATTCAAGGTCACAGGGGTCAAATATGTTAAAAACTTTTAACAACTACATCTGAATAACCAAAATGCCCAGGGTGATTTAGTCAGTAGCATACTAGGATCAAGGGCTACCAAGTTTGTTTAACTGTATGACCTTGAATCATATTCAAGGTCAAAAGGAGCAAATATGTTCAAAATATTTTAACAACTTGTTCTGAATAACCAAAAGGCTCAGGATGTTGATATTTAGTCAGTAGCATGCTGGGATCAAGGACTACTATGTTTGTTAAAGTGAATGACTTTGACTTATATTCAAGGTCACAGGGGTCAAATTTGTTTAAAATCTTTTAAACAACCTCTTCTGAATAACCATGGGTCCCAGGATGTTGATATTTTGCAAGTTCATCCTGAGATGAAAGGCTATATAATTTGTTCAACATAATGACTTTGTTCGACTTTCAAGGTCACAGGGATGAAATCTTTTGAATTAATTTTAATCATAAATACTGAAATTTTGCCTGTAGTTTTATTTTAGATCACTTTTAAGGTTACAAGTGTGAGATTTATACCAGGTCAGCGATGCAGGCCCATTGGGCCTCTTGTTATTTACACAATATTCAACAGGAATCTACAGGGGAACCCTGTATTACAATATACATTGTGTGTACAGTGGAACCTTGTATTACAATATACATTGTGTGTACAGTGGAACCTTATATTACAATATACATTGGTTGTGTATACAGTGGAACAATTTTAGCTCGCCTGGTCCGAAGGACCAAGGTGAACTTATGCCATACCATGGCGATCGTCTGTCAACAATTTCTTTTAACGACTTCTTCTTAACCACTGATTGGAATTTAACTAAATTTGTCTGGAAGCATTCCTAGGTGGTGGGGATTCAAAATTGTACAAATGCTGGGGCTGACCCCCCAGGGGACTGAGGGGCGGGGCCAAAAAAAAAATATTGCTTGGAAATGGTTTAGATCCCCAATCTATAACCATATATACAATTGCTGAGTATAAAGTGAAGAATGCACATTTGCTTCCAGGATGTCCCTAGGGTCTGGCCCCACCCTTGGAAACATAGTCCCTGGGCCATAACTTTAAGCGGTTGAGATCCCCACCCCAAAACTATATACACAAATGCAGGGCATAAAGAGACGAATGTAGTCATGAAATTAGACCCTGGGGTCTGACCGAACCCCTAGTATTACAATATACATTGTGTGTACAGTAGAACCTTGTATTACAATATACATTGTGTGTACAGTGGAACCTTGTATTACAATATACATTGTGTGTACAGTGGAACCTTGTATTACAATATACATTGTATGTACAGTGGAACCTTGTATTACAATATACATTGTGTGTACAGTAGAACCTTGTATTACAATATACATTGTATGTACAGTGGAACCTTGTATTACAATATAAATTGTGTGTACATTGGAACCTTGTATTACAATATACATTGTATGTACAGTGGAACCTTGTAATACAATATACATTGTGTGTACAGTGGAACCTCGTATTACAATATATATTGTATGTACAGTGGAACCTTGTATTTCAATATACATTGTGTGTACAGTGGAACCTTGTATCACAATATACGTTGAGTGAACAGTGGAACCTTGTAATACAATATACATTGTGTGTACAGTGGAACCTTGTATCACAATATACGTTGAGTGAACAGTGGAACCTTGTAATACAATATACATTGTGTGTGCAGTGGAACCTTGTATTACAATATATATTGTATGTACAGTGGAACCTTGTATTTCAATATACATTGTGTGTACAGTGGAACCTTGTATCACAATATACATTGTGTGTACAGTGGAACCTTGTATCACAATATACATTGTGTGTACAGTGGAACCTTGTATTACAATATATATTGTATGTACAGTGGAACCTTGTATTTCAATATACATTGTGTGTACAGTGGAACCTTGTATTACAATATATATTGTATGTACAGTGGAACCTTGTATTGCAATATACATTTTGTGTACAGTGGAACCTTGTATTACAATATACATTGTGTGTATAGTGGAACCTTGTAATACAATATACATTGTGTGTACAGTGGAACCTTGTATCACAATATACATTGTGTGTACAGTGGAACCTTGTATTACAATATACGTTGTGTGTACAGTGGAACCTTGTAATACAATATTTATTGTGTGTACAGTGGAACCTTGTATTACAATATACGTTGAGTGTACAGTGGAACCTTGTAATACAATATACATTGTGTGTATAGTGGAACCTTGTAATACAATATACATTGTGTGTATAGTGGAACCTTGTAATACAATATACATTGTGTGTACAGTGGAACCTCGTATTACAATATATATTGTATGTACAGTGGAACCTTGTATTGCAATATACATTGTGTGTACAGTGGAACCTTGTATTACAATATACATTGTGTGTATAGTGGAACCTTGTAATACAATATACATTGTGTGTACAGTGGAACCTCGTATTACAATATATATTGTATGTACAGTGGAACCTTGTATTTCAATATACATTGTGTGTACAGTGGAACCTTGTATCACAATATACATTGTGTGTACAGTGGAACCTTGTATTACAATATATATTGTATGTACAGTGGAACCTTGTATTGCAATATACATTGTGTGTACAGTGGAACCTTGTATTACAATATACATTGTGTGTACAGTGGAACCTTGTATTACAATATACATTGTGTGTACAGTGGAACCTTGTATCACAATATACATTGTGTGTACAGTGGAACCTTGTATTACAATATACATTGTGTGTACAGTGGAACCTTGTATTACAATATACATTGTGTGTATACAGTGGTTGTATATATACATTGGTTGTGTGGAGCTTACCGGACTGAGGAGAGAACCAGTGAATGGAATGGGAAGCCTGAGGCAATGCTGTAATAATGTCCATTATAGATTATATAAAGGCTTTGTCCAGTTACACTATCAAGATCTTAATGATTAATAAATGTCACTGGAAATTAACATTTTAACTTCCTGGAATAATACACAGGTAGTTAGATTGCCAACAAAACAGAAACTACAAAACAAACACTAAAAAAATCAAATTGCTGGTTACAAAATTTAAAAAAGCAACATTTCCTGAACTGCATTACGTACGTCGAGTCTAAAGTTGTAATGCTTTACAGTTATTTTGTACCGGTTACCTCCCTTCGTCCATTCCACAGTTACATCATTATCTTATTGCAACTCTAACTCACAATAGTATAATATCTCCGTTATTATTATAGGTTTTCGTCAATGTTTTGTAGCAATGCTATTTCTCAGGAGAAATATGTCTACATTATAGTGTCACCTAGAACCACTTTAATGCAATAAAGGGCTTTAGAATTAAAGTTAACTGACCACAATTTCTATAGTATGGTACTTACAAATTATAATTGTGCGATCGGCCTAGGTATCCAAAGGTCCACGGGGAGATACGAATGATCCGTTCCAACTATAGGACTATATAAGATAGTATGTAACATATTACTGCAATAAAATATTGAATGATGAAACAGAAACGTTTATACATCTGGCTTTATATGTCTTTGGATAAAAGGAACATCGCACTTATATTTATAATTACTGCTAGTATTACCACTACGTATATTGTCGGAACGTAACGTATACTGCAATTGGGCTGCTCCTGCTTTGTCGAATGTGTTTCTTGGTTTGTTAATGTGGTTTTACGTCCGCTTTACTACCGAGTAGTACGGTTATAATCCTGTAGACGAACAAAAAAACTTACATCAGGAGTTACCTCCCTTCTTCCACACTGAACTTCCGCAGTGTTCTGTGTTCGTTCGAATACTCAAGAGACGTATAAATTATATACATCTCTGGAATACTCAGATATGTTTAAATTATATACATCTCTGTAATACCCAGAGACGTATAAATTATATACATCTCTGTAATACCCAGACGTATAAATTATATACATCTCTGGAATACTGAGAGACGTATAAATTATATACATCTCTAATACTAGAAGACGTATAAATTATATACATCTCTGGAATACTGAGAGACGTATAAATTATATACATCTCTGTAATACTGAGAGACATATAAATTATATACATCTCTGGAATACTGGGAGACGTATAAATTATATACATCTCTG